CTTTCAATCCATGAATCTACGACGAAGATATTATCGCCGAACCTCTCTGTTCATCCAGATTAGTCCTTGGCATCATACTTCAATTTATTATTCCATTTGAATGATACTGTCTAGGCATATAGGAATCAAGATAAATATATTATTCATTCATTACTCTATGTAGTATGGATGTATCTTAAACAGAACTGAAACAAAAACTTTTCCGACGTTAATTATAATTCTACTGTGTACATTGATTGAAGAGGGGGTTACCTCGGACTTCCGGATCATGACGGAGCTGTTTGGCCAAGGTGGTCTTGCCGGAGCCGGCAAAGCCGGTCAAGTTAAGGACCTGATGATCGCCACCATCCATGATGACGAAAGACTTCAATTTTTCCAACAATGGAGCATGCAACTCCAGTGTAGACTCAGGCTGTGATATTTCAAGATCACCCCTTGCCAAAATTTCTGGTCTGCCAATATGATTGGTCTAATCAGGAGTCCTATTTCCCGTGAGCAATTTAAGAACATTCCTTAACGTCAGCAAAGGCAAATGCAACTGCATGATTTCTTTCATTTCATTCACTGCGTTCTCCATTTTTTTCTGGTAAAATGGCGCGAGCCAAATACGCCACCCGACTTTGGAGTATTTAAGAAGAGCGTTTTGTATTTTGTTCATACTCTCCTGGAGTTTCTCGAGTACCTGAGATTCCACATTCGCCTCCCTGGACAGTTGTTGAATCTCTGCAAACAATTGACCCAACAATTCCATGGTGGACTCGAGGCCTCGCGCTGTGTCTGCATGCTTGAGAGCCCTTTTGATTAGATCCAAAAGCTGGTTCCCTACAAGCTCCAGAACTACTTCCATCTTCACTATCTTTACTTTTCTGCTCCCGATCCTCTCAACCTCAACTAGCTGCTCCGGAGCTGTTCCAGTCAATAGAAGATGAAGGCCATAAACTGGAGGAGACCAGCCTGCGATAGCGAATGTAGTCAATGGGGTTATATGCCTCCCTGACAAAGGATCTTGAAAATTCCACGCAAGAACGTTTTCTATATTTTATTAATAAAAAGAAACAAGAAAAAACTCGTGTTTCTTTTTATTTTTAACTTTTTAATACATAAACATGAATGTGAAAGATGTGCGTCCGGTTTCAGTGATGACATCCCTACCATCTACAATTTTTAAGTTTTTACTTTATATTTATTAAAATAAAAATTATAAAATTTTTAATAAATAATTTTATTATAAATTTAATTTAAAAATGTATTTAATTTAATATAAATTTTTTTATAAATTAATTAGTGAAATATATTTTGAACAGTTCAAATTTAGAATTTTAAACTCACAACTTTTTTCTTAAAAATATTTTTTAAAGATGCCAGTTTGGATATTATTTTTATTTTTAATATTAAATTTATTAAAATAAAATTTTATAAAAATATTTAAAAATTAATAGTAAAGTTTAAATTTTTATAATATATTTTGAATAATTAATTTATAAAATTATAATTTTAATATTTCTCAAGTAGGTGTCATGAACATCCTAGAAGTTATGAACGCAACTTCGTAGAAGTTTTGCAACTGGCCACAAGTCAATAGGTCCCAAAAGTCGTGGATCATTTTAAATAATGGTCCCATCTTGACCATCTACATTTTTAGTTAATATTTTATATTTATTAAAAAATTTATAAAAATTTTAATAAATTTATAATACATTTTTTATTTAAATAGTTTATTTTAATATTAAAAAAATTTATTATTTTTATAAACTAACTATTTAGATACACTTGGATAGCTTAAATTTAAATTTTTTAATTCTCACCTTTTTTAAAAAAATATTTTTAAAAGTATTAGTTTGAATATTATTTATATTTTTATTTTTAATATTATATTTACCAAAATAAAAATTTATAAAAAATTAAAAAAATTAATATTAAATTTAAATTGTTCAAAATGTATTTAAATAATTAATTTATAAAATTATATAAAATTTAATATTAAATTAAATTATAAATATGAATTTATATTATTCAGATTGCTGATGGCAACATAACTTATTGGAAGTTTCGCAGGTGGCTCCAAGTCAATAGGCCTCAAAAGTCGTGCATCATTTGAATGGAGTCATCTCCACGGAGCAGTAATTTCCGTGTGCGCATGTCGTAACACTCATCGGCTAAATGCAACGTCAATTTGGTTTCTCATCGTTTGTACGTGGAGGGAATAATATATATATATATATATATATATTTAGTTGTTTTTTTTAAAATAACCTTTCATTTAATAATTTTTCTTCAAGTATTATTAACATGGCCTTACATTACATCACACTCGCTTTGTATAAAACAATATATTTTTGAGATAATTCGGTATTTCAAAGTACTTTTTTTAATCTTATTTATAAGATAAAGAGAGAAAATTTTTTATCATATTTATAAATCACGTCATTAAATTTTTATTATAAATTTTCTCTTTTACCCTCTATTGAATGTTAGAAAGAGAAAATATGTTATTAAAATATATATATTTAATAGGGACAAAGTTAAGAATTTATTAAATTTTAAAATAGAGTTAATGAGTTTTAAGATTTTTCTTAATACTGGTGAAATGTATTAGAAGTGATTTATAAATAGGACTAAAGGGATACAAAATAACTTGATAAAAATAGATTTTCATTTAATATAATTTTTCAACATCACCCTTTCCTCTTTAGTATATTTCTCTCTTTTTAAATGGAGTGTATTTTTGGATATTTATATTTATATTTTGAAAAAATAAAAATAAAAAATGTATTTAATAAATTTTATTTAAATATATAATTTTGTTTAAAAACATCATATAAAATACTTCTCTAGCCCTATTTATAAGTCACTTCTAACATGTTTCACCGGTACTGAGGAAAACCTTAAAATTCATTAACTCCGTCTTAAAATTTAATAAGTTTCTAATTTTATTCCTATTAAATATACATATTTCAATAATACATTTTCTCTCTCTAATATTCAATGAAGAGTAAAAGAGAAAACTTGTAATAAAAATTTAATGACATGATTTATAAATAGGTAATATTTTTTATAATATTACCTTTCTAATATATTCTCTCTTGTAATATTCTTTTACAAATAGAATATTAAATAAAAGGTACTTATAAAAATTTATATTTTGTTTTGAAAAAAAAAAATAAAGGTGCAATGTATATTTAATGAATTTTATTAGTATGTATAATTTTGGGCAATTTGACCCCAATACTATATAAAAAAAATTTATTTACCCAAATACTTTACATTCAAAAACATTTCTCCAAATATTATAAACATGGAACTTGGTTTGCATCAAACTTATATTTAAATTTTTTTCAAACCTGCCATTGTATAACTTGGCTTTTGTGGGATCAAGTTCCACTTAAATTTAAAAAAAAAAAAAACCAAACAAACAAAGGATGTGACAAGCATAATGGGTAGGCTTACCATCCATTCCCCTTATCTTTTCCCTTCTCCTCTCCTTCCACCCTTTTCCTTGACTTACATGTATGAGTGAAGAGTGAAATGTGAATGTATGTTCATTTTTTTAAAAAAATTGTATTCCAATTCTAAATGCTCTCCACTAGCTCTCTACTCCTCCATGAATAATCACACTACTTTGGATCCCAACTTCGGCTTTGCTACTCCGGCAAGTCCAAACAAAACCGTGGATCCTCTAGTTTTAAAAGAAGAAGCTGATTTACTAAACAGGAATGTCACAAAACTAGATGAAGAAATTGTGGATAAAGGACAAGAACATGCTAAGAATACTCTAATTCCAGATCAGATTGTGGATAGTCATGCAACAGGTAAAGAAACAACATCTCCCAGTGTTCAACCAATGGAAATACAAGTTGGAAAAGATCAAGAGCAAGAAGCTTATGCAAATAAGATTCACACGATTTAAGGAATTAAAGCCTTCAAAGCTCCTATCTCTTACAAAGACTCACTCATTAGCTACAATAGATGTTATGGGATCAATGAGGCCAAAGATACAAACTACATAAATGAAGCTCTTGCTAAGGAGTTGGATAAAGAATGGAACCTATCTGAAACTGCCAAAAAGATAATGGAGAGATTTCCTATGGTGCCAATCTTAGATCTTACGTGGAAGAATATCTGTCTACCTTGGATGGATGCCTTAGTTATCAACACACTTGGTATACAACTACATCCAAGATCACTTAAACCCGGACTAGCAAAGATGTGGAATTTAAAAGACTTTGAACTGATTGATTTAGTAAACAATTATTACATTGTTCGCACCAACAACATTGAGGCTTATGTGAGAATCCTCAATGGTGGATCATGGACTATTTTTGATCACTGCATTCTAGTCTAACAATGGATTCCTCATTTCAATCCAAGCACCAACTCCCTGGGTAAAGTGGCTCTATGGGTTCGATTATCAAATATCCCAATCCAGTATTATGATAAGGAAATTCTATGGAAAATTGAAAATTGTATTAGCAAAACTATAAAAGTCGATGCTAATACCCTTGCAGAAGCTGAGACTAAAGATTCAACAGGAAAAATGGAAAGGGGCAAATTTGCTAGAACCAATATGGAAATTGATTTACAGAAAAAACTTGTCCTAAGATTACTCATCAAAGATAATTTTTATAATGTTGAATATGAAATTATAAACCTTATTTGCTTCGGTTGTGGCTGTTATCGGCATAATAAGAACAACTGCCCTTTAACCTTAAGAACGTGCAAACAAGCATAGGAGGAAAACCAGACTTGAATCAATTAATGAAGCAGATGGGGGAGCAATGGACCTCGAATATTCAAATGAATACGATTAGATAGGAATCATCAGAAAATTCTGAATAAATCTTACTGGTAGATGATTGCGATGAATGGATAAAGGTTCGACAACCAACTCAAGCTCGATTTACGAAGTATGCAACGGATAGTAGAATTGGCCAGAATTCTCGCACCCTTCACCTAAACCGCGGTACAAATATTTCCACCAAATCCAGATTTGATATTCTAGCCTAGGGCTGCACAAAGAATTGGACAGGACTGGACTTCAGCCTAACCCGAAGTCTGGTCCTTTTTATGAAAAGGACTAGGTTAGGCAACCCGTAGTCCAGTCTGGTCCTGTGAAAACCTGAAGATTAACAGGACCGAACTTAGTCCATAGGACTGGGAGACTGGTACTGTTAGTCCAATACTCACTTGACTTTTTTTTTCTTTTTTTTTCTCTATGATAAGCAATAATCCATTTCAACCTAATAAATTCAATTAAGATAATAAAAACACTTATAATCATAATAAATTCATAATTCATAATGATTTCTAACATCAAGAAAATAATATTTCAGTTACAGTCCAAACTCCAAATGATTTAGATATATAACTTCAACAAAAACACTCAATAAAGTTTAACACTACATTACATTTGTCATGTAATTATCTCCTTAGCTTCAACAAAAACAAACTTAACAAATCTTCAAATAATTATCTCCTTAGTGTCAATAACACTTGAAACATCTGTAAAAAAAATCATATACACATATATAAAGTGATTAGTAAGTGTAAAAATGCAATATATACATTAAATTAAGAGATATAAAATTGAATATATTACCTGCAACATTAACCATATCGTCAGTCTCTTGAAAATTATCAACCTCATGAAACATAGAGACAAACTCTGAGAGAGATTGCCCTGCAACTAGCCAATTCTGGGCACAAATGAGTGCTTCAGTCATCTTAGGAGATAAAGAACTCCTATAATCATCAACAACACGTCTTCCAGTGCTAAAAGTTGATTCAGAAGCAACTGTAGATACTGGTATAGCCAATACATCTCGTGCTATCAAGGAAAGCACTCTATACTTAGTAGAATTAACCTTCCACCATGTCAAGATATCAAAATCATCATCATCATTATCAATAGGGGTGTCCTCAGATGTACTAGCAGAAAGGTATCTATCCAACTCTGATTAGGTATCAACTGATGAGCTTTTTTGCTTTTGGGATGCTAACCATCTACGACCAGGGTCTTTTTTACCTTAACTTGCATTTGAAGTGTTGGTGTCAAGAGCACTTAGAGAGTTGATACTACCAGAACTGCTTGTATCAGGACCAATTGTTGCAGAGTATTCCTCAAATAGGCGATACAAAGTGTCTCTTGCCTTGTTCTTCATGGACATGCAAAGGTCAGGGGCAGGAAAAAGCTAATCAAATACATGATTGATATAGGCAAGCTTGTATTGAGGATCGAGAATCACAACAATAATCAACAAAGGGTTCAAATTATCTGCTGCCCCCCAATACTTATCATACTTTCTCTTTATGCTCAAAGACATTTCCCTAAGAAGAGGGTCATCACTTTCAACATTCTCATCTAACAACTCTTGAATTAAAGCAATTTGATGGAAGCATGTATGTGCAGTAACTTTTAGTGTGCTAGAAAATTGTAAAGTGACATCATAAAACACCTTCAAGAACTTAAGAAAGAACCGTGCTTTATTCCAAGCTTGTTTGTTTGGAGGGCCATTACGCTTAGGAGGAGCTTGCCTAGAGTAAGCAAAAGTATCCATGTTGTCATCTGGTCTAGCATCTTGCCTATAAACATAGGCATCTATGCTACCCTCTAAACAAGAAAAGTCACTTTGAGCATGACGCTTTGAACCTTTGTTGAAGTAACTAACAAAATCTTCATCTTCATCCTCTAATCTTTCAAATGCTTTTTGAAACTTCAAAGCCACATCCAACATTAAATATGTAGAATTCCATCTAGTACTGACATCAAGGCAAATAATACTTTTTGAGTCCAACATTTCCAATTCACAAACATCTTTAAATCTTTGCAAGCAAGCAGGAGAGGAACGAACATATCTAATAGCATTTCGAATGGACTCAAAAGTATCTTTCAACTCCTTCAACCCATCATTAACAACTAGATTAAGAATATGTGCAGAACACCGTAGTTGAAGATAATCACCACCACAAACAAGACCCCTCCAATTCTTTAAATGCCTTTTTAAGTAAGACAAGGCTGTGTCATTGGAAGTTGCATTATCCATAGTTATGGTGAACACATTTTGTATGCCCCAATCTAATAAGCACCTTTCAATTGTCTTGCCTATCGTATCACCTTTGTGATTCTCAACCATGTAAAAACTAAGAATCCTCTTATGCAAGTTCCAATCATTATCAATGAAATGGGCTGTCAAACATAAGTAATTGAAGTTTTGAACTGATGTCCAACAATCTGTAGTGAGGCAAAGACGATTAGTACACTTCTTCAACAAATTTTTCAAGATTCTAATTTCACCAAGATACAATTGCCAGGCATCTCTAGCCACTGTTGTTCTTAAAGGGATTTGAAATCGTGGTTCTAACTCCTTCACAAACTTTTTAAAGCCTTCCTTCTCAACAAGCCTAAATGGTATCTCATCACATATGATGAACTTAACTAGAGTCCTGCGACATCGTTTCTGATTGAACATGTGAGGTACTAAGCTTCCCTCTTGCCCACTTGGTATCACATAATTCAACATCGATTGCTTTGTCATTTGTGTAGCTTTATGTGGATTCTTGGAATACTTTGGTACATGCCTCTTCAAGGATGTTAAACCATGCTTGCCTGGGTCAAAAGCATAATCTAAATTACAGTACTTGCATGTAGCTCTAACTTCTCCATTTGTCTCCTCCAATGGTAACTTAGTAAAGTGTTCCCACACTTTTGACACCTTTCTTGCAGAATTTTTTCTCTTTCTACTACCTTCTGTAGCTTCACTTTCAATTACAGTTGTAAGAGGAGGAGGACATTCCATAGTAGTTGGAGGTTGAGGTGGAGGAGTAGGTGTTAAAAATGGTCCAGAAGGAGTTGAACTCACATTTTCACCAGTGAAAGGAGACAATTGAGGTTGGTCAATACTAGATGTTTGCTCAATATCCATCACTTCACAATGATAAAATATAATTCACAAGTTATAACAGCAAAATGGTAAAAAGAAAGCAAAATAGACAAGTTATAATAACACAAAATCATGGCAAGGAACACAAAAGCCATAAAATGAAAGCACATAATTGATAAGGTGATTACTAATAAAAATCATCCCACAGGAATGTCTTTCTAATAGAGCAACACAGACATGGAGAAAAAACTTTAAACAACTTCTAAGGCAAGTCAATCCAAACCTATGTAACAAGTTTTAATCCATATTAAATAACTTTTAAGGCAAGTCAATCCAAATTTTAATCCATATTAAACACATAAATGAATTTGATAAGCACGTTGCAAAGGCACAACAAGACTGTCTAAACATGATAACAATCGATTTTTATTTCTAGGTAACTGAGCATAAACATCACTAATACAAATAAGAAGTATCTCAATGCCTATCCAAACTGCAGTAAATATTCAAGTTATAAATATGAAGAAATTTCTAATACATTCGAATAGCCTGCCTTGGATTTCAATTATACTCATTATACAAGGCTTAGTAGTCATTAGTTGATTTCTATCAAATACAATGATTTTAAACAAAAAAAAAACAAAATACATGCTTATCCCGCTGCTCCATGCATGCTTGCTACCCATGCTATTTCTCATCAGAATTAAGCACCATAGAGCTCAGTTAAAACAACTTTCTCCCGAAAGTATCAGATTGGATAACAAAACAGAGAGAAATATAAGGGAAGTACAGCAATATATTAGTGGCGCAATGATCCAGTGTATATAAGGGAAGTATCAAATTGAAAGTATGTAAGGAAAGTAGAGAAATATACTAGTGGCGCAATAATCCGCTCACAGTAACCTCTTCGCTTGTCGTCCGGGAATTGGCGAAAAACTTAACGGAGCAGCTGAAGTTGAAGCAGGTAAGTACGATTTAATTTGAGGGAAAGAAATCCGTGCCTTTGAATCAGAGGTTAGAGGTAATGGAGAGCAGGGGTAGGGCGGTGGTGTGGCGTGCTCAATGGTGGATCAGATGCGAGAGGCGATGCCGATAATAGACGGATCGACATGATTGAAGCAGAGCAGCGGTGGGTAGGATTGCAAGAGAATGGCTCGAGCGAGAATGAAGAGGGAAAAGCAATGAATCAAAGATCAAGGCTCGAGCGAGAATGAAGAGGGAAGAGTAAGGGCTACCGACATGATTGATGGTGGTCGGAGGTAGCGTACAGGAGGAGGCAGGGGCTAGGGTTCGACGCACTGGAGAGTGGAGAAACTGAGAATGAGTTTTGTGGATTGAGACTCGAGTAGCTGCGCGTGTTGAAGCCTGAAGATAATAATGCAAAACTTATTAATTAATAATTTATAAATTATTTTTAATTATATTAAAATAATTATATAGGACCAGACCGGACCACTTAGTCCCGATGCTTGGTCTCTAGTCTAGTCTTACTCGAAAAATAAGTCCTGTTTTTTTAGTCTTTTTAGACCTATAGGACCAACATTTTATAGGACTGGACTGGACCGGGTTTTCACGGGTCAGACCAGGTTGGACCAGACTACAAGACTTTTGCACAGCCCTATTCTGGCCAATCTTGATCAGACCATGGATGACGGTGGCAAAAATGGGAAAGCCAACTCTCACAATGTTGCACCTATTAGTCCTTCTATAGCGAAGGTTGTCAGACAGGTATGGAGGAGAAAAGATCTATCCAGCTCCAAGAGATCTTAACTAACTGAAGCTGAAGAACCCTTAGGTAATGTATTATGCGAAGAGGAGAACCTTTATCTTGAAAAGGAAAAAAAAAAGATCTAAATGAATGGGCCTATGTTTAGCTAGGATGGGCCTCACAAGATGAATGAAGATATGATCAATAAAGAACTGAAGCCCAACAACAATGCCACTAGACCTAATAAAAGAATACACTTGATTGTTAAAGGCAACAAAAGGGACTTGGGCTCAAATAAGCAGATCTTAACTGAAAATAATAAAACACAACCCATCTATGGTAAGGATAATGCAGATTGTTACGTGCCAAATCCTAACATTTAGAACAAATTCAATGCCTCACAAAAAAATTATGGACTCCATACTAAATTCAAGTTATACCCCTGCTCAAATATTGACTAGAATAAACCCCCAGACCTAGGAAATTCATTAAGCCACGTCTCAGAAACATAATTTCACAATGATGATGGTATGGAAATAAATAATCAAATTACTTCCTTGAGGAACTATGAAGACATAAGAGAGATGAATTTCATTGAGGATGATACTGAAGATGACCTTCTTTCAGAAGACTATGAGCATTCTCCAATTGAACTAAACACTTTCTTTTCTCTCTACTTGCAAGATTGCATAATTCAGCATGCAAAAAAAGATGCAGGTAATGCTAAAGCGAGGAATGTTTCTTGGCAAAGACTATTCATCCATATGTGTTGGAACATCTAGAAAGAAAAATGCAAATACATCTACTCTGAGAAAAACACGCTTGACAGAGACATTGCATTCACTAGTATTCAAGACATCCACAATGATCAATACCTTCAATCTAGAATTAACTTCTTAACCCAACAAAGTGATAGATTTGAAGCGAAATGATGCTCTCCAAAAACAGGTTGGGTTAGACTCGATATGGATGGCTCTGTTAACTATCAAGGTACGGCATCTTGCGGAGGTCTCATTCGAAATGATCAAGGCAACTAGATTAAAGGCTTTACATCAGTTACTAACCAAGTACAGCAGCTGAACTTATGGGCATCTTAGAAGGCCTCAACATTTGTTGGACAATGAAGTTGAATAAAGTTAATGTTTACTCTGATTCTATAGAGGTGCTTACACTAATACTTAAAGAGTTATCCACTAATTATCCTCTTGCTACAACTATCAATAATATCAGAGAACTTGCTATGAGAGATTGGATGGTCACTTTTGACCATGTCTTCAGAAAAGCTAATAATTGTGCTGATTGGATGGCTAATTTAGCATCTATCGATACTTTAAATGTTCGGATCTTTGATAATCCGCCCTCTAGTTGTATGAATATTCTTTATAAAAAATTATTTTAAAAAATTATAAACAAGGAATAAAAAGACTTAATGCCAACAATAGTTTCTACTCAAAAAGTTTAAAAACAAAAATAATAATTATTAATTTACTAGTATAAATGAATAATTTGATCAAATTTTAAATATTAGTTGATTTAACTATTTTCTTGGCATGTACAAATTTTGATTTTTAGGATTTCCTCTTACATTTTCTCTCTATTAAAATTTTAGATAAAAATATATTTTTGTTCTTTAATTTTACATAAAATTTTACTTTAGTCCCCTAAAATGATTTATATGGTATAAATCTATGTAAACAATAATTCATTTGTTCCCAATCATAAAAAATTATCAAATTTGTACATGTAAAAGTATTTAACTATTTTCCTATCATTTACAAATTTGATAATTTTTTATGGTTAGGAACAAATGAATTATTGTTTATAAAGACTTGTACCATATAAATCATTTTAAGAGATCAAAATAAAATTTTATGTAGAGTTAAAGGATTAAAAATATATTTTCATATAAATTTTTAATAGAGAAAAAAATGTAAGAGGAAATCTTAAAAATCAAAATTTGTATGAAGTTAAATTAACTAATATTTAAAATTTGATTAGATTATTCATTTATGCCCATAAATTAATAATTATTATTTTAGTTTTTAAAATTTTTGAGTAGAAACAATTGTTGGCATTAAGTCTTTTTATTCCTTGTTTATAATTATTTAAAACAAGTTTTTATAAATAATATGCTTATCTTTTAAAGTATCATGCTGTTATTGAAAATTTCTAAAATAAAAGCATGAAACTTTAAAAGATAAGCATATTATTTATAAAAACTTATTTAAATAATATAAAACTAGTAAATATGAATTCGTATTTATTTAAATTTATAAGTCTGATATTATAATATAAAACAGTTATTTATACTTCCTCTATTTAAAAATATAACGTATTTTTAACTAAATTATATCCCTTAATAAAGTTATTAACTACTTTCAAACTAACCCTATCTTTTCATATTTATCCTTATTAAACATTCTATAATAAATATAAAGTCGTTATCAATAGGGAAACTTAAAAAAAAAGACAATAATTACACTTTAAAAGACTAAAAATGCCTTATATTTTTGAACATCCAACTCCTCAAAAAATACCTTATATTTTTAAACGGAGCAAGTAATTTTTATAAGTATAATTATATAGTTTATTCTACATGCAAAATGCAAACAGATTTTTTTTAAATGAATGTATACTCACATTTCACTCTTCACTCGTACACACAACTCAATAATGGAGGGTGAAAGGAGAGGAGAAGGGAAAAGATTGGAGAAATGGATGGCATGCCTACCTATTACGCTTGTCACATTTGTGTCTTTTTTTTAAAAAAAAAATTAAGTGAAACATGGTCTCTTAGAAGCCAAGTTTCATACTGGCGCGTTTGCAAAAAAATTTATATGTAGGTTTGACACAAGTTGAGTTTCATATTTGTAGTATTTATATAATTATTTTTGAATGTATAGCACTTGGGTAAATAATTTTTTTTTTTGTATAGCATTGGGGTTAAGTTTTCGTAATTTTGTTTAAAATATCTTATAAATTAGGACTGGTATTTAAAAAGTTGAACTGATTTTAACCGTATTTCTTGATCTTGACTATTATTTGTCTCTTGCAAAAAGAAACAAAAGGAAAGGAAGTACAAAAATCAAACTATGTATAAAGAGGGGATTAAAGTCTAATAACTGCACTACAAACACTATGATTTTATGTGATGTGAGGGGGAAAAACAACCGACGTCGGACTTTCTTCAAGTGGCCAAACATAGTAAAGAAAAAAAGACAAACTAATACTACATTCTACTACTACAAGCCAAACGTATCCAGCTTGTTACGATGTACATGTACGCTTCGTAAGATCAAAAATAACTTCAAGATTATAAAAAGCTAATCATAGA